AAGTTTGTTCAATATATCTAAACAACGTAATTTTCAGAAATTATAAGTTCCTGCCTTTATACATCGCTGGCCATCTCTCAGTCAACCTATTGTTCTATACACCCTGTAAATGTTGAATGAAAAAAAGAAAAACAATGTAATTGTACAAATCTTACGAGTTCCTGGGTCTGCTAACAGGTCCCTCAGATAGGGCGGCATTGTTCTAAAACACCGTCTAAACGTTGAATCCATAGAAGTACTGCCTTGTGGTCAAGATCATATATCACAATGCCTCTTGAGAACAACTTTCTTAGATGAGCATCTTCTAAAACAATATATATTAAAATAAAAATCTTTAATATTGAAAAATTTTTAACTGGAAAAAAAGTTTAGAAGGATTTATAACTTGACTAACATGAGAAAAAACTAATTTCAAAAGAAATAACATCCAGGAGTAAATATTAACCACATAAGAATTACCAACGATGAACAACTCTGCTTTTTGTTTCTTGCATTTTATAAGATTAAGCTGGATGTTTTATTAGCTTCATATTCAAGCAAGCCAACTGACTTTCATATTTGTTTGTATGTGCTTCAGCAAGTATAGATCCAGATCTGGAAGTTTTTATTAGTGAAGGAAAAAGCCAAGGAGGCAATATTACTAGGGAAACTTTGAAAGAAAGTAGAAAGAAGAATAACCCAAAAACAAACAAAATTTGAAAATTTTGAAGTTCATCATCTGTTCTAACTTAGGGCTCAATTCAGGTGCTTTCTTGCAACTTCTATTGTTGTTTTGATATTTGTACTCTGTTTCTGTAGTAGATATTCCATTATTGGATCTAGTGGATGTGCTTAAGTATTTCAAGTGGATGGTTACCCCTTCTATTTTCTCTTGGAAAGCATAAAGAACTTTGAGCATTACATGTTATACTGTATGTAATATGATAATGATGTGCAAAGAAAAAAACATGTCACATACTACATATAAAGCAACCATACTACATGTAAATGGACTTTATGCTTGGTAAGTTGTGTCTTCTTTAATTGCAAAAAAAAAATAATTGAGACCATAATCAAATTTGCAACGTTCATGATAATTTCAATAAAGCTCCGCATCAATGCAGAACCTTAGATTTCAGAAATCAATTCTACTTTATTTCAACTACATACCAGACAAAGATAGTTAATATTGTACATAAACATACCATATATGCTCTCCTCAAAGAAGTGATGTCTTCCTATATCCTACTTGTATACCCTTGTCACATGTCACATACAACAAGCACAATAATGACAACGACGTGCGTGTGATTTCTAATGTCATTGAGCTCTAATTCATGTCAAACACTAACAAAATTTCCTCTGTGTTCATGACATAGCATGACTTAGAACACTGCCAAGAACAAAACAATATCTCAATAAGTAAATTGGTGAAGACATTTAGGATCAGCATATAATGTTAGGCAGCCTACAACAAAGATCACCAACTAGAATGACTTCTGGAAACTCCATTGCGGCTCACGTTGGCCGGCATTCTTTAGTCAATTCTGTACAACCACCCCCTAAGAAACATTTCAGGCTTATCTCAGAGTCTCCAAATTGTACCGATGACTTATCTTAGCTTGGACGGCAACATGGTGGGCGGTTCTGCTTTGGTCCACCATGTCTGAACCCGGTGTGAACGTGACGGGCCGCCACCATGGCCTGCGTTCTATCTTCATGCAAGAAAGCGACGCCGAATCGAATTCGAACACCAGGGCTTCTCGAGCTACCAGAAACCCTAACCAGGAAATTTCTAGGTCAACACTAATAGAAAAGGTTTCAGAGACGAACGGCGTGGGTTTCCACTAAACGATCGCTCGGGTCGCCATGATCAATCCCCAGAAACGACGTCGGTTTCCATCTAGAATGCAACAATCCAGACATCCAGATGGGGAAAAGAACTCCAACAACAGGCATGGAAGAAAAGGAAAACCATACCGACTCGAAGTCGTGCGGCTCGATGGAGTGGACGAGAGGAGAAATCCTGCGCCAATCTCAGGGTTTTTATACATAAAAAAATTTACATTAAGACACAAAATGTAATTGGTTTTATCGATGAAAAAATAAAAATAATGAATAAAAAGATAATTTTAATATCTAAATTATATTTTTGATGATAGTTAACGATAATGTCACTTGGGGCATCGATGAGTATTATGGATGATGAGAGATAATAACAACGAGAGGTGAGATAGAGAGAGAAAATGAAGAAGATAATGTATATACCGACGCGAGCGATGGAAAGGGCGACGATCTACTGCGAGCCGAATGTGGCCTTCTTGAGTCCATCCACGGTGCCAACTTCCTCATGGCTCGTCGCATCTGGAAGGTCACTGGTGTTACTTGTCACTCCCTTGACATTGACTATCGCATCTCTAGTGCAGGTTCACAATAGGTCTCGCCCCTTTACGTTTCTTGTGATCTCGATCCTATTGCCTTCCATTCGCACTATGTGGCTTCCTCATTCTCTTACTCTTGCCTCTCCACCTCCAAATTCACGACAACTCCTCGGGCTAAGAAGCCCGCATATCCTCGATAAATGACCATGAAGTGACATCGCGAGGTGGTTGACGAAAGGATGGAGGTCGTCCTGTCAAGCTAGAGCTAAAGGATGGGGTGGCAGAACAATACTAACGCAAATTCAGAGTATCGACGTCTGCATCGTTCTCTCCCTTTGCCCCAACTCTCACTGCTCTCCCTCATCATCCACAATAGTCACCACGGCCCCTATCTATGTCATCGTTTGCTACCACTAAAAAGTAATTGAGATATTAAAATTATCTTTTTGCCTATCGTTTTTGTGTTTTCATTGATAAAACTGATAATATTAGGATAAATAATATTAGATATTTTACTTTCGTACATATTCTAACATAAAATTTTCAAGTCTAGAAAATAGAATAGAAAGGAGATCTAACTATAATAAATAATATGTAATTAGCCTGCTAATCTTTCAAGGCATCGGTAAGATTCAGAAAAACATATATATATATATATATATATATATATATATATATATATATATATATATGTATATATTTCTAAAATTTGATTGTTTATATATAGTTCTTTCAAAATATTTAGATTTATAACAATAGACCACAAGCAATCGAACGAAGTCAAGTCAACGATTTAATAATTCTTAACCAAATCAGCACTTTGATTCGATTTGAATCGATCAAAAAAATAAAAAATCTAAGTACATTTGTAAATAATAAATTTATCCCGTATAACCTAATAAACGACTAATTAGATGAATATTCTATAAAATAAAAAATAGAGGAATTGGAATCGATTGATTCTTGAACCGAAATTGAAATTGCCTAGAAACAGTTCTTTGTTATATCATTCAACATAAGAAATTGAAATTGCCTAGAAATCATTCAACATAAGAATTTCTTTTATCATTGAAATTCAATAGAACCAATATTTTTGATTCTGAATTGAAAATATATATTTTAAATTGTAATTTAAAAAAAAACTCCAATGGGTCATTTATTAAAAATGTTGAAAAGGATAAACTCATCATTTATTTATTTATTTTTCTCATCGGCTTGTAATCGAATCAAAATTATCAGTTTCCATTTTCGTTTCGGATTCCATAATTCTAGAAATCGAAATCAAACGGCCAAATTCCAATTCTAATTTGATTAAAAATTATATTACCCTACCCTTTCTCATTTTTGATCGATTTGATCCGAGTTGGAAATTAGCTCACATAACCACTCCTTTGGATCTTCGAGCAATGATGAATTAATAAAAAAATGATGCAAATGTATTAGAAAGTAACAATATACATACATACATACACAATCCTAGAGATTATTTTTTTGGAAGAGAGAAAGCTCCTTCTCCCTTCATTATCCGTCATTATACTTTGTCGCACATATGGAACATGACGTGCTGCAACCTTCGCCTCCGCCTACAAGTTTGGATGGGTCATCAATTTAGCTTGCAGAATAAGCTTTGGTCCGCCGTGACCCCGTCGTCGTGATGCTGCGCCTTCCTGTTTCCTGTGACGCGCCTCAATTGTTCGACGCAAGTTGTCACAGAAAACGCCGTGGATAACAGAAGGATAATGTAAGAGCGGTTTAATGGTCGCGTCTTCCGGTACACCAACTTGCAATATCGTGTCACACATCATCAGCCGCACATCCCTCCGTCGATCGAAAGTCAGCATCTTGTGGTCGCTTTTTCTTCCCTTGAATAATCGATGCGCGACGATGAAGTCAAGATCGTCATTCTCTGTGGGACCCGCCGTGTCGCCCAATGGGAGAACGTCTCCTACCCACTAGGCGTTGCACGCGAGGTCGGTGGGGCCGACGGAGTACTCGTTGCACGCGAGGTCGGTGGGGCCTACTCCGTCGGCCCAATGGGAGAACGTTGGTTCCCTCCTCGAGGCGTTGCACGCGAGGTCGCACGTGCGATACCGTCCTACACAAAACGTGTGAAGTTTGGGTGAGAAGGAAAGAGTCCAGAATCACTGCTCCGAATCGGAAAAGTGTTTTTGGCAGCAGAATCACTGCTCAGAATCAGAACGTGTTTCCATACCTGGGGCGTTTCTTTCGGATCAGATAGTCAACCGTAAAAGACGACCATTTTTTATTTACTTGGTCATCGTCACCCGGTTTTCTGTGTGGGCCCTCGACGCAGTCCCACATGACGCCCAATGGTCATGAGGGTGGTGGAAAGTTAGGAAGTTGCCGCGTTTGAACCAATCCGACGTTTCGTTTCGTCGCCCTTTTAAGTAACGTGCGATAGTAATTCGTTTGTTCAAACCCGTTATACCTTTCAGTTTCCCGAATTTTTATTTCGACGTGTAGGAAGTACGCGTAGAACTTACGTGTTCGAGCGGGCCCTCGGATGGGCATCTTAATTTCTGTGCTGGGACATGGTTTTGCTCATGACACGAACTCGCGTGGATCGAGGAGGTGTGAGCTTTGCGTTCCACGCCCATGGAAACGCTAATGGTAATGCTTCCATTTAATTGCAAAGAAGGGATTGGGCAAGACTTCTCTCCCCTCCACTTTGGTCATTGGCCCATCTCTTCAACCACTCCTCCCTTCGCCCGCCGATCCCTGCCTCCTTTTCTTCCTCTGCGAGTCTTTTGGCGTCGACTCTTGATCTCCGCGTCTTGGATTGGTTCAGTTGGATCGGCGATCGTCGCGCCGCGCCCTACGTTTTGGTTTTCTGCAAGTGAGCCCTTCTTCAAGCATCCGTCGGTTCTCGACCAACCTCCGTCGATCGAACATCAGGTAATAGGTCGATCGTTCTTTTCCTGATTTAATTTGTTTTTCGGGGCTTTTTCCGTATAGAATGTTCCTTCTCTTCTGGAAAATCAAGATTACAACCATCAGGACTGGGAAAGCAAGTTTGATTTTGACTACCGTGTGACTGGCGTCGAGAAGGATGGTAGGACTTTCTGTAGTCCCAGAAGTACCGATTGTCCATCTTTGTGTGTCCTTGTTTAGGATCGAGTTTGTCATCTTTAGATTGGTTAGCTTGCCTTTGGGTTTCTGATCATGATTATTTAAAGCTGTCTCACAGACGGAATAATGATTTATATTTACTTGCTGCATAACTAGCGACGGAAAATGTGCTGAGAGTAATCAATAGATTAATCGTGTACTATGCTTTTGATTGTCGATATATATTGTTTTGATGGTCTTCTGATAAGGTGAAAGCTTTGGAACAATTTAACGTCCATGTAGGATGATCTTTTGATAATTTTAGTGATCTGCTTATCCTTTATCTTATGGTCAGCGATTCTTTTGTTCTCATTTACTAATTTAAGTCAGTCTTAGATGAACCTTTTTCATTAGGTGTCGGGGGCTTTTCAAGAATGGTTCTTTTTATTACGTTCAGCTGAGTGTGTGCATGTCTATGAAAATAACCTTTATGCCGGCAAAGGGGCAGGAGCCTTATAATTTGGGTCACCCACTTGGTCTAAATTAGATATTAAGTTTGGTTCTTCTCATGTTCAACTTGATTTTAGAAGCATAATGTTACTTGACATGAGTATGAAACGTTCAATGACTTGATGTTCGGTTTATTTTTCTAAGCAAACGAATCAAATTGGTAAAGCTGGATGATTCAACAAAACATCGTGATCCACAATTAATTGGTATCTTCTATCTTGCAGATGTGAGTTACATGCTTATGCTGTTCTATAGTGAAAGAACATGTATAGCCCACCATTTCAGAGATCTTGAATGATAGACATGTTCATATTAATGGTTGTTCCACAGTTGCTAGAAAGGATCAATTGGGAGGCAACACAGATAAAGAATATGGCCTTGTTGAATTAGAGGGTCATTCACAAAAACCCAATTATTACCTTCACTTAAACCATGCTTAAGTATCATATAATTATTCATGATCAATGTGCCTCAATTGATTAAAAAAAAAATCAATTGCATGTGTCTCTTATATTCGATGACGTTAGAACTCACCTCATCTTTTCACAGTCCATAAACCAGTGAACGATGGCTGAAGAACCATGCTTTATGTCCCAAATGTTTCCTCGAATCACAATAGGCTGGCTTACCACATAAAACAGTCTATAAACAGCCTTTGAAGTTCCATGTAAAACAAGTAAAACATATTTTTCAAAAAAGACTTACAGGTTGGCTAAGTTTGATTGCTCCTTATTATTGTCTTTTCTATTATATCTACATTCTAGTTTTATGCTCTCATTATATTTTATTTTTGTTTCTCTTGATGATATAATTACTAACTCATGTTAATCGATACTGTTGGGGAAAAAAAATATCATTGTCGTCCTTGTCAATATGACGTAGCCCTGATCTATATACGTGAAGTCATCTAAGGTGGAAAGCGCCTTCTCCCGAGATGTCACCTACACAAAGACTGAAGTCGAGAAAGGCTTCTTGAGTTGGTCCCTCTGATGCTTATGTTAGCGCTAAGGTTAACTTCCCTGGCTCTAAATTCTTTATATCCCTTATTTTGAGTTGAGGATATGTTTTTATGTTTGATCTTGAGGAGACAGAATATCCTATAAAGATTTCGTAGGGGAAACGATTTATAATCGATCCAAGTAGCCTCGTGGACTCTCGAAAATATTCTTGTGAATATTTCACAGGGAAGGCAGTTTGTAATTGACCCGAGTTGCCTGCCCCCCTAGACTCTCAGGAATATTCCTATGAATATTCAGTAGGGGGGGTAATTCGGTAATCGACTCGTGCTGCCTCTTGGACTCATATTCACGCGGGCAAGCGGGTGTCAGGTCGTCTGGGCCTTTTTCCTCCCATGGGCCTTACGTGGTGCTTACGTGACGAACGGTGGTTGACCGATTGTATATTCCCTATCAGATATTATGGGTCTTTATGTATGTATGTCGTATGTATATTCTAGCAACCTTCCTCATGCATAACATGCTTGTGCTGATTATTAATTGAAAATGGGTTTTCAATGCTATAATAGTTATTTTGTCCATTGTGTTTGTTTTATTATTTACTAAAAATAAGTCTTAAAATTACACTTCAAACCTCAATTGAGTTACAGTAGCGCTTTACATATTGATCAATTCTTCGCACTTCTATATCTAATATTTTTACCACTTTATCCTATCATTCTAGGACTGTGTTATAATGCCTTTCTGAAATTTAAGATCTTGAAGATTTTCTTATTGCATTGAGGTTTTGATTTATTTATGCTGAGATGAAAGAAATACATTGCAAAGAATGCCTACAGCATGGAGACGCATCCCTGTCTGATCCCCTCTAAGTCCAACAGTAACTAACCCAGTAGATAAATGGCTATATGAAAATGTCCTCTGTTGTGATATTTAATTAAGTTGACATTTATCTTCAACTCCAAAAGTTAACTTGCTACTTGTGTTGCTTGTGTACTGATAGTTTAACTTAAAACCTTAGTCTAATGCATAAAGTTTCTAATTCTGCATATACTTAATTGTGTTTTTTTGAAAATTATTTATTCAGACTATACATATTTTATCTGGACTTATCATCTTCCATAGTGAACTTTAATAAAGTTTGCCAATTTTATGTGTACTAAATCAACTCTTTCCTGAAATTTCCTTATTCTGTCTGCAAAATTCTTTCTGGTCTTAGCAACTTCAATAACACAGTTGGTTCGAACTTTGAAGACTTGAATATGTGAATCCAACAGTATCTGTTTTATGTCCTTTGCACAGTTCTTTTTACTAGTAATTGCTTGTTATGTGAGGAGTTGTATATATTAGAAACATTATAAGTTTTCAGCTTGTTTAAATTAATAATGATGCCTATATTTCCTGCTTAGCCAAAAGGACATCACTTGTCACAGGCTGCGATATATTAGTTTTGTACTATAATGGGTTAAGACACCAATCCTTTAACTTTTAGGTTTGTGAATTTCTTAGCTGTTCTAGAATTTTTATATTTAATTGGGTCATTTTGTTATCATTTGTTATTTACAGATCTTATAATGTTTCCTTATAAAGTCTTATAGTTTTTCCTTATCAAGTCTACTCAGCTATACTGTATTGATGCATTAATTTGTATCAGATATTAGTGCTCTATCAAATATCTGCAATGATAAAGCATGTAGTCCACCATGGGAATTCATGAGCTTACAGTTTAAGTGTTTGCATGCATGTCCTCTCATATAGAGAGGGGTCTGACATGATAGAAAATTTATTTTTGCTGACGTTGTGTTTTGTGATCACAGCATTATGTTTGTTGCAAATTGGCTTGTATCAGGCATTCAGCTTAGTATCCATCTCAACTTGGTAAACTGCAATATTGGTTCAGAGCTTTAAGGAAATTAGGAAAATACACGATGTCTGTGATACGGTCTGCAGATTCATCTACTGCCTACGGTGAGTCAAACATTTATACTCGTAAGGGTGGTGGTGACAGCTCAGCTATATCCAGGCAAATATTAAGTGCGGATGAGCAGATGTACACTTACAGGCCTACCTCATACCATTCCGGCTTCTATTCCCAGCAATACGTAACCAATGCGTCATCAGAAACGGTGCATGCTGATCCATTTCACATGTCTGGATCCTCAATTCCAAGACGCTATCTTCAAGTTTCTTCAGCTCCCTATCAGCTGATGGCTAATATTCACTCATCTATCATATCGGAAAATCCTTATAGTTCCTGCTTTGCAGCAGTTCAGAATCCTGATTCCTCAGCAAGCTCTAACATCTCTCATCAAACTTCCCATTCTTTATCTGACAATCCAAGTCCAGAGCAAGAAATAGACTATGGTGAAGATGAAATCAGGTTAAAGCTTCGAGAACTTGAGCAGGCATTATTGAATGATAATGACGAGGACTTGGTGGATTCAGACCAGGTCATGGGAATTGAAGATGATTGGGCTGAGCCTATCAAGGACCTGTTACTTCCAAGCTCACCAAAAGAGTCATCGGCAGATTCAAGTGTCAGTTGTGTTGGCAGCAATAGAGAACCACGAACTCCCAAGCATCTACTTTTTGACTGTGCAGCTGCAATCTCACAAAGTAGCATGGAGGAAGCACAAGCTATCATAACTGAGCTTCGTCAGATGGTTTCGATTCAAGGGGACCCTCCTCAAAGGCTTGCAGCCTACATGGTGGAAGGTCTGGCAGCTAGAATAGCCTCTTCAGGGCGAGGTTTGTACAAGGCTCTAAAATGTAAAGAACCCCCAACTTCAGATCGGCTTTCAGCAATGCAGATTCTGTTTGAGGTCTGCCCATGCTTTAAGTTTGGTTATATGGCAGCAAATTATATAATTGTCGAGGCAGTCAAGGATGAAGCAAAAGTTCATATCATAGACTTTGACTTAAACCAAGGTAGTCAATATATAAACTTGATACAAACTCTTTCAACCTGGGCAGGTAAACGACCACAGCTCAGGATATCTGGGGTGGATGATCCAGAATCAGTGCAGCGGGCAGTCGGAGGCTTGAAAATTATTGGTCACCGCCTTGAGAAATTGGCAGAGGATCTTGGTGTCCCATTTGAGTTTCGAGCAATAGCTGCTAAGACTGGGGATATAACTCCTGAAATGCTAGACTGCCGACCTGGGGAGGCACTTGTGGTTAACTTTGCATTTCAACTGCATCATATGCCAGATGAGAGTGTATCAACAGTGAACCAGAGAGACCAGCTGCTTCGAATGGTTAAGGGCCTAGGACCAAAACTGGTCACAATTGTTGAGCAAGATATGAACACTAATACAGCTCCTTTCTTCCCAAGGTTATTTCCCCACTTATTTACATTCCTTATATAATTTATTGTTATTTCCCTTCCACGTAAGTTGTTTGCTATGTATGCAAATCTGCATAATCCTGACCTATCACTTTTCTTTTTCCTTTTTTTTTTCCTGACCTAAACTTGAATTTATTGGTTTATGTTTAATTGGAAATATATGTTTAATTGTGTGATCATCTCTTTGTCGAACTCACATTTACCTCTCTTTTACTCCCTAGATCTATATGTTTCCAGGTTTTATTTGTAGCTATTATTTTCTCAAAACTTGACCATGTAATATGATAGGTTTGTGGAGGTTTACAATTATTATTCAGCAGTCTTTGATTCACTTGATGCAACTCTTCCAAGAGAGAGCACAGACCGAATGAATGTAGAGAGGCAGTGCCTTGCACGAGACATTGTCAACATTGTGGCTTGTGAGGGTGCTGACCGCATTGAGAGGTAATTCTTAAACTAATCAGTGCTATTGGGTTCTCTAAATATTTATACTTGTAACGAAACCCTCTTTGTCCGATAATTTGCTACTCCTACCAACCAAAACAGGTATGAGGTAGCCGGAAAGTGGAGGGCAAGAATGACCATGGCTGGGTTCGTTTCATGCCCCTTCAGCGCCAATGTCAACGGATCGATACAAGCATTGTTAAAATCGTACTGTGATAGATACACGATCAAGGAGGAAATTGGGGCACTCTACTTTGGATGGGAGGACAAAAATTTGGTTGTTGCGTCGGCATGGAAGTGAGGCCTTTTTTTGCTACCACTACATGTGTCGTTGTCACTGTACTGGGTTGCTGTTGTGTAGTTTTGACGTGCATAAGCATCGAGAAATCTACTGATGTGAATATATCTGATCAACACTGCCATAGTTCACGCGGATAATTATGATCTTGCAGACCTTTCTTCTAGTCGCATAACAATGCTTGTTGTAATATATTGGTGCTTTGTGAGCTAGAAATAGAGACATGTCTATCCGGTGGTTTCATGCCCTCTGTGATGTTTTGTCTATCATTTTTTTTAAAATATATTGTTTGTTTAATTAGTGTATGCTTATTATTTATTTAATTAGTGTATACCTTTTTAATAAGAGAAATATTTTTTTTTCTAATAGGGATTTAACGAGTCATAAACTTATTTAGTTTTGCTCTAGAGTGGCATTCTTGTGTATTCATTTATTTTCTCTCGGAGAAGATGAATTAAAAAAATATTTAAATTTAAAATTGTATAAATAATTATTTCAATAAACACTTGATAAATAATATAAATTTTGTAAGTTTTGAGTGACAAAGGGTCCAAGATGGTATGTCGCAATCAAAAGTTCCTACAAATGTTCACATGATATTGCTGTAAAATAAGATAGCGAATTAGCCTTAGGTACCACCCTACAGGCTCATTCAGTTATGTATCACATGAGTAGCTCTTGGGTGCTATGTTGGCTAATACTTCGCACCACTTTTCGGAGTTAAAAAACTTCTAAAATGATTTCCTGGATGATCTATTTCTAGGTAGTTTATGATGATTACATACAACTTGCATTTACAAGTTTGAAACAACTATAAAAGCTAACTAAAATAGGACTACCAAGCTTATTGCAACCTCTGTGCAAAGCATTAACAAAATTGAAAGACACAAAAATACATGAGAATTACATCAAACACCATGTTTACAGTTTTATCCATGACATTCTCTCTCACTTATTCCTTTGACATCCTTGTCAAAGCCTTTGCGGATACTGCATCTTTTTACTTTTATTAAATCTTCAATCTTCTGTTCCAATTACAATGCGCCTCTTATGTCCCAACTGCTTTCCATTTCTGTTCTTGAGTAGTCAAACTTTAATTCATAATTTTGTTTTAACTTCCAAATGACTTTGACTCTAACTCTACTCTGGTGTAAGATCGATTGATTGTGCTGATCCTTGTTGGTTCCCATGAATCATTCGAATGAAAGATATATTCTCTCTAATAAGGGCTCAACATGTGGTAATCTAATCAACATGTGGTGTCCAAGCTGTCCCCTCAACTATCGAGTGGGTGTTCGATCCCTCTCTTTAGTCATATCTAACTTCTTACGCACATGGGCATAAATTGCTTATGACTAAGTTAGACAACACTAATATTTGTCTTATCATTTTGGCACTAGAAAGAAGGCCAATATTGTAAGAACGCCATTCCACCCACTCGCTCAATAAGAGCTCTAGTGATAGCGCTTCTCTCCTAATCCACATCATGATCAACACGGCCCAACGTGCTCTCTACGATGATAGTGCGATCGACACGACCCAAGATGCTCTCCATGTTGATAGTGTTGTCGATATGGTCCAAGGTGCGCTCTCTACGATGGCAACATGATTGACATGACCCAAGGTGATCCATGATGATAGCACAACCGGCATGTGATAGCACGATCAACATGGCTTGAAGCACTCGTTACATTGACAGCATGATCGACATGGGCCATACCGCTCTCCATAATGACAACATGGCCAACATATCCCAACGTGCTTCTCTACAATGACAACTCAACCGAAATGATCCAAAGCGCTCTCTGTGATAATAATTCAACCACGACGACTTGAGGTGCTCTTTATGATAATGATACAACTAACACATCTCGAAACGCTCCCTATGATGACAACACAACCGACACAACTCGAAGCACTCTCTATAATGATGAAGCGACTATCACGGGCCAAAGCGCTCTTTACGATGATAATATGATCACAATGGGCTAAAGCGTTCTCTACGATGACAGCAAGACTAGTATAGCCCAAAACACTTTACGACAACAATGCGATTGACACCACTTGAAGCACTCCCCATGATGAGAGCATGACCAATACGACCTAAAGCACTCTCTATAACGACAACATGGTTGGCTCGATCTAAGGTACTCACTATGACGGTCAACATGGCCTAATGCGCTCTCTACGACTACAATGTGACTAGCATAGTTCGAGGTACTCTCTACGATGATGGCACAATCGACATGGCTTGAAGGCTCCTTTCAACAACAACATGATCGAAGTGGCTTGAAGTGCTTCCTTCGATGATTGCATGATCGAAACGACACCCAAAGCATCTTAACAGTCGATGTGTCCTTCGTGGACATAAGCATCACCGATGCATAATGCATCCTTCATGGATAAAAAGTATCATAATGACCAACACGTCTTTCGTGAACATAAGTGTCTTTAACAACCAGAGTATCTTTAATGTGAAAAAAAAAGGACATATGCAAGATTTTCCTTGGACCTTTATGTCAATATCTTACGCAAATTGAAAGAAAGTGAATGCTCAAGCAGAACTTATAGAAAATGAAAGAAAAGAAAAAAAATGATAGAAAAGTAGGGATAAAGGGATTTCAAGAACGTAGAGACCGGCGTTCTTGATTGATGAGGAGGAGGAGGTCACTTGGAACAAGGATTCCTATAACAACAACAACAACAATCGAGTCGTTATAGGTGGACGACGTTTCAAAACATTTGCCAAGAAGGAGCAAACGAGTCTCGATTCCTTTGTCCTGTCGTATCCCATAATTAGTTTAGGAGCAGTTAGTTTCACATTGGCATGGATGCCCTCAACTCACCTCCCAATTCTCCACTGATATTTGGGTCTATTAAAACCCTATTAGTGGTGGGACTGAGCTCATATCTTCTCTACCCATGCTCTCATGGTTCAACCTCCAGCATGATGAAAAGCCTCTTCGGCCGAAGAGGTCAGTCGTCCATTTTCTATTGCATGCACGTTGTTGGTTAATTGTCACCGCATCTACTCCAAATCGATGAATGAATCTGATAAGCTCGAACGACTTTGATTTGATTTGACACATCAAAGTTAAGTATTCATAATCGAACATTTGTCTCCTTAACACCCCTAAAAAATGTAATCACCAAAATACATCCATCCTAAGCTCATGCTAAAATAAATCCAATCACAATCACAGTCGAGTGAGGAAGGAGAGATCGAAACCCTACGTGGAACTTACTGTGTTTCTTAAATACAGTAATTGCGTGGGACCAAATAGCTTCTGACGACCGAGCTAGTTTTGGACTTCGTCTTCCTTCTCGTGCCCACTTCCGTCGTGTCGAATCTAATTAGGCAAGCGTGTAAACAAAACTAACCCACACGGCCGTATTAAAACATGTTGCAGTCAACTAAAGCTTACGTGCACAGTTCTAATGTTGGACTTTTAAATGGGTTGATAACATCTGCATAAAGTCTTTGCAATGACAAGTGAACGGTTTGTTAAACCATTCGACGTTGCCCTACTTCCATCAGTGCTCTTCTCGAGTGGAATGCATGATTAAGCCCACTCTTGATTGATTGGCCGTTCCACCTTTAGATCTTCATTTGGTCCACTCGAGATGTTGCCCCTCCAAATCTATATATATACTAACCTAAAATCGACTTACAAATTCAAATGTCAACTAAAAAAAATGTATCCGAGTGTCACCCAAATGGGTTAACTTATTCAAAGTCTATGACTCTAAACATTGGGACCGTAAAACATGATGTAGAGCTGAAAGAAAAGAGAGCTAATAAAAAAAGGATTATAATAAATTTAAGGTCCTCAAATCTTTGAAAATTCAAAAAGAATTTTCTTGACAATATTCTTTACTGTTGGATAGATATGCAAATTTGAAGAATTAATATGTAAATCCTAAAATATTTTAAGGATTAAGATTATTATTTTATATCTTTGTTAAGAAAAAAAATAAATGATTAAAACATATTTATATCTTAGTGATAGGGAATATAAAATCAGTTAGTTATTAATCACCACGTCAATGTCATATCATATGCCAACACCCTCCTATCTATAGAGAAAACCTAAAAAGCAACTGTCGAATTATTGAACTATCTTCTTCACAAAATATTCGTAAGAATTAAAAAAAAATAATCAAAAGGTAGTTCAGATCGATTATGAACTGACTCTCATGTGAAATATTCATAAGAATATTTTTGAAATATCAAGAGGCAATTCGGGTCGATTACAAATCGACTCTCTTATGAAATATTCACAAAAATATTCTCGAAATACCAAAAGACAGTTTAGCTCGATTACGAACTGACTCCCGTGCGAAATATTTTTCAAATACCATAAGGCAATTCGAGTCAATTATAAATCAACACCTTGTCGAATATTCATTGAAATATTTTCAAAAGATTATAATGTAATTCTAGTTGATTACAAATTATATTCCCTACTATTCTCGAGATATTCTTCCTCCTCGAGATTAGGGAAAATAAAAGAAACGATCTTTGTGCCGTAAGCGAGTGTGAAAAAATCATACTCTATCTCGGACAACTTCTCACGTATGAATTAGAACCATATCATGTTGATAAATATCAACGATATTTTCCTAGCGAGAAACGTTCTATTTATAGGTAGGTATTCCTCCATTAGTGGGAGATGTCTGTGGCGAGGATTTATTTGGATAGGAACAGTAGATCGAAGCGAACAAGAAAACGTCCTCTACTAGTCAAAAAGCCTTCAAAAGAAGTGCACAAACGAGAGTTCAGCCTAACCTTGTCGTCCTCCACACCGTCTCTGTGGCTGCAGATTCGTCAGCCTCGCTTTCGCTTGCCAGGGAGATGACAACTCTTCTGGTTGGAGTTGTCTGGAGTAAAAGTGAAGCAGAAGGACATGCAAAAATCCGCGCGAGGGGAATGCAGTGTGAGCGTGTCATACGACGAAGTCACGCTCTGTCCTTTCGACGAAAAGGAATTCTTCACTGCTTTCTTTCTGTTCCGAAGAAAAGTCCTTCACATAAGGCGAAAATGGGTTGGATAAAGTGACTCCCACCCGTCATTATGACGAACAGTTGGAGGGCGGGACGGGGTTCTCACGGTGTTGCTCCCCCGAACCCCCGGCGACTTTGGTTCGCCGCTGACGTCCTCCTCTCGCGCGTGTCGACCCCAAGCAGCTCGGACCGGTGGGTTGCACCTGCGTCCATCAGATGCTCCTAGTCTAACATGTTCTTGCGTGGG